CAAAGTGCTGGGATTACAGGTGTGAGCCACTGTTCCAGGCCCAATAGCTTAATCTTTGTGTTTCACACCTGGAAAACTAAAACGTAGTACTGCTGACTTTCTAAACTGGTACAAAGACTTATCTTAGGCAATGTCTGAAAAGTGCTGTAATCACCTTGGAAGAAAAGTATGCAGTCTACAAATCATAGACTTGGAAGGCATTGTTAGAAGTAATCTGCTCCAGCTCTGCAATATATGAATCAGGAATGATTTGTAGGATACAGTGAATTAAGATGGGTACTCTGGGCGTTTTATTTGAAAGGTCAACAAAATGCAACTTGTTAGAACAGTTTTAGTTCTGTATCCTATGGCTACCAAGGTATGCTAAAATAAGTCTTTCATTATATACAGTGACAAATTCTTCCACCTCTTCAGCTCTCTTCACTGATGCAATGTATACTGAGTAAGATCTCCCTCCGTTAGTTTAGGCCATCTCTGGCTTTTCTGGAATATTCTGTCCCTCTCAGGACTGCATTTGATGTGCATTTTAAATGCACTTTAGCTATAATCGAAAAAATAGCAGGATGGGGCCAGGTGTGGTGGCCCACGCCTGTAATCTCAACACTTTGGGAGGCCAAAGCAGACGGATCACTTGAGGTCAGGAGTTCGAGATCAGCCTGGCCAACATAGTGAAACTCCATCTCTAATAAGAATATAAAAATTAGTTGGGTGTAGTGGGGGGTGCCTGTAATCCTAGCATGAGAATCACTTGAACTTGGGAGGCAGAGGTTTCAGTGAGCCAAGATTGTACCCCTGCACTCCAGCCTGGGTGACAAAGGAAGACTCTGTCTCTAAATAAACAAACAAATAAATAAATAAATAAAATAGGATGGGCACAGAGGCTTAGGCTTATAATTCCAACACTTTGGGAGGCTGAGGCAAGAGGATCACATGAGCTCAAGAGTTTAAGACCAGCCTCGGCTGGGCGCAGTGGCTCACGCCTGTAATCCCAGCACTTTGGGAGGCTGAGGCGGGTGAATCACCAGGTCAAGAGATCGAGACCATCCTGGTCAACACGGTGAAACCCCGTCTCTACTAAAAATACAAAAAATTAGCTGGGCATGGTGGCGCGTGCCTGTAATCCCAGCGACTCAGGAGGCTGGGGCAGGAGAATTGCCTGAACCCAGGAGGCGGAGGTTGCGGTGAGCCGAGGTCGTGCCATTGCACTCCAGCCTGGGTAACAAGAGCGAAACTCCGTCTCAAAAAAAAAAAAAAAAAAGACCAGCCTCGAGAACATGGTTCTCACCTCTATAACAATTTTAAAAATTAGCTGAAAGTGGTGGCACCAGCCTGTGGTCTCGGCTATTTGGGAGGCTGAGGTGGAAGGATCACCTGAGCCCAAGAGGTAGAGGCTGCCATGTTTGTACCACTTACTCCAGCCTGGGCAACAGAGTGAGACCCTGTCTCAATCAATCAGTCAGCAATAAATAAATATAAAATGATAGCAGCTGGCAGCCAGGAGAGGCAGCAAGGGAGATTTCCCAAAATATGAAATTCTGATTCTATCCTCAGGATAGATTCTGAAATCCTCAGAGCATTTGGAAATTCTCGAGAGATAGTTTTGCTAACACACAGTCACTTGTAACCCAAATTGTCTTTTCTCCTTGGGGGGCAAGGCCTTAGTTAACAACATTCAACTTAAACAGCCCCATAGTGCTACAATGAAGGGAATTCCTGAGCTACTTCCTGTTTCCAAGTCTCTGGCCAAGTCGCTCTTGAACTGTTCCATCCCCGAAAACAAACATTCTTTTAGTTAATATTTAAACTCTGTTTATTTGACCTTTATTCCTTTGACCCTAATGCTTTAACTTCAGCTAAAATAAAAATGCTCTATTGGAATAATTAATAATAGTGCCGTCAACTATCAAAATTATTTGTGTATATGTGTGTGTATATATATTACTTAACTTTAGCTAAAATAAAAATGCTCCACTGTGATGGAAGAATCCAAACAATTTTGATAGGTGACTGCTTAAGCCTCTGAGAATGAATTAACTGTTATTGCTCTCTTTGAGAATAAATTAACTGTTATTGCTCATTGCTCTTTTACATGTATAAGCTCTGGACTGGATACTTTTTTAAGACAATATTTTAAGGCACTTAATTATTGTGAGATTTGATATATATAAGACTTCATATATGCATATATAAATATATACATGTATGTATGTATGTATGTATGTATTTTTAAGTCTCACAATCATTCTACCAAGTAGGGTTTTTTTTTTTTTTAATTTTTTTTATTTTTTGAAATGGAGTCTGGCTCTGTCTCCCAGGCTGGAGTGGAGTGGCGCCACCTCTGCTCACTGCAACCTCCTTCTCCCAGGTTTAAGCGATTCTCCTACCTCAGCCTTCTGAGTAGCTGGGATTACAGATGCGTGCCACCACACCCAGCTAATTTTTATATTTTTCATAGAGACAGCGTTTCACCATGTTGGCCAGGCTGGTCTCGAACTCCTGACCTCAGGTGATCTGCCTGCCTCGGCCTCCCAAAGTGCTGGGATTACAGGCATGAGCCATCGCACCTGGCCCAAGTAGGCATTCTTATCTCTATCTTACAAAAGGAAAATTGAGGTTCAGAAGTTAGAAAAGGTTTATGCCATCTGCAAGTGACAGCCAGAAACTAAATTCATTTGTGACTATCAGATGCCAAAGTAGGGGCCACAATTTTGCCTAGACTCAAAATGACATATGCAGGTTCTTATTTTAAATGGTAGCAGGAAGAGAGTAGATGAGTGAGAACCAGAGACCCAGGAGGAATACTAGTCTGGGGCTGTGGTACAGGAAACACAAGAATAAAAGTAAATTGTGACCAGGCCTAGTGCTCATGCCTACAATCCCAGTGCTTGGAGAGGTCCAGGTAGGAAGACTACTTGAAGCCAAAAGTATGAGGCCAGCCTGGGCAACATAGTGAGGCTCTGTCTCTACAAAAAAATGAAAGATTTCGTTGGGCATGGTAGCATACCTGTAACCAGCACTCGGGAGGCTGAGATGGGAGGATTCCTTGAGTCCAGGAGTTCAAGTCTTCAGTGAGCTATGATTGGGCCACTGCACTCCAACATGGGTGACAGAGTGAGATCCTGTCTCTAAAATGAATAAATAAAAAAAACAGAATGAGAGTAGCAAAACATGAGGAAAAGTACATCTACTCAGTTAAAAACATTTATTGAGTAACTACTTAAAAGAAGACACTGTACTAAATCCTGGCACAAATATGTGTGTATATATATATAAATATATACATCTTTGTGTATATACATATATAATATGTATATATTAATATATTAATATTAATTATGTATAATTAATATACACACACACATATATATTTGTTAATTAAGATTAAATACATAGATGTTATTTAACAAATAGAGACAACAAGCTGGACACAGTGGCACTAGCCTGTAGACCCCACTGTTAGGGCTGAGGCAAAAGGATCATTTGAGGCCAAGAGTTTGAGGCTGAAACTGTAGCACACTATGATCACGCCCGTGAATAGCCATCATACTCCAGCCTGGGCAACATAGCAAGACCGCATCTCTAAAAATAGAAATAAGAAGATAAATGGTAGCATACAATATAAACTGTTTATTCCACATCTTGCTGTTCTTATTAACACTTGTTAGTTAATACATATAGCTCTATCTCCATTCATCCCAATGGTTACATAACATTTCATTGTACTGATGTATCTACCATAGGTTATTTAACCAGTTCCTTTTCTATGGATATTTAGGTTGTTTATAATCTTTTAGGATTAGATATTTTTTGCAATGACTATCCTTATGCACATATGATTTTGCAAGTGCAAGCATATTTATAGGGTAAATGTGGAGAGGTAGAATTACTGAGTTGAAGAATACGTACATGTATATATATTTAATTTGACATGCATTGCCAAAATGCTCTCCATAGAGGTATTCCCAACTCACATTCCCACCAGTAGTATGTGAGAGTTTCTATTTCCCCACACAACACCATTTGAATTTAGCCAATCTGCAGGTGGAATGCAGTGTTTCTGCAGTTTTTATTTGCATTGCCGATATTTTAAATACATAGCATTTCATTTTTTTAAGGAAAAGGATTTCCAGCTTCTCTTGAAAAATCTGAAGTTTAGCAACTCTGGATCCACTTTCTACAGCTGAATAGTGACTACTCTCCTTAGGCAAGGTATATGTAGTCAATATTGTCCTTCTTCCTCCACACACACACAATCCCATATTCATCCCTGACACTGAAGCCAAGAGCCAGTTTCTATTCATCATTTTCCAGTGCAACCCCATTTACTAATCTACATTACCTTACTGGCTTCAGATATTTGAACTTTCAGCTGGTCTGTACAGAAATTAATAATAAAAGAGAAAACAAATGAAACAAGTAGAATAGATAAAAGAGACAGAATAGTGAGCGAAAATGAAAGAAAGATATGTTAATATCGTTCATGAGTAACAAATTTTAGGCTCTCTGGTCTCCATCCTCCTAGAATTTATCAGGTTATATCCACAAACGTGATACATTTACTAACTTTATGTCTCTAGCACGAACATGCCAGAGTAAAGTTTTGAGAATCTTGGGGACGACTCTGGTTGTGAATCTAATTTTAGCAATAACCTTGGCCCTGACCTTCCAGAAGGCAAATACTTTCTATATATTAAGGTACAGAAAGCATCACATTCCCTTAGTTCTCTATATTAAATCAAATTTGATATAGGGAAATTACATGCCCACACTCACTAGGGAATTAACAACAGGAGATACTAGTTATTGTGGGGAGGCAGGACAGAAGGGTCTCCCTGGGCTGGCTGAATGCTGCCCTGATAACTTGGAGAAGGACTCTAGTCTGTGCTCTATCATCATCTAAACCTGTGATGTTCATAGAAGACCGGCAGCCCTTCCCTTCATGGCAATTATGGGCGCCAGAAACGTTCACCATGATTCTCAAAGCTACAGCATCCATGCACTTTCTGTAAGACTCCCCTCACCTACAGCCTTGGCTCCACAAGGCGTAATGTGCACCCTCAGTCACCACACCACTGGGAAGCTACCTGATGGAGATAAGCCACATATATCTGTTCAACTCCAAAATCCAGTTTTGATCCTTTCCTCCTCTGAGATAATCCAGTTTACTTTTCTCCTGTCTAAGCAGACGCCAGAAGAGAAGTTCTAACTCAGGCCTGTAAAATCAAATTGCTGGCCACTCTTCTCTGATTTGGGGAAAGGAGAGGATTTACTCTTCCCTTCTCAATTCACAATGGGGAAAAAACATCTCTTTAGATTTTATTTTCTTAATAACACTTAGTCTGCTGCTTAAGAGGGAAAGTTCTGCAAGTTCTGCCATTAATAGGAGATTAGAAAGCCAGGTATGGTGGCTCACACCTGTAATCCCAGCACTTTGGGAGGCTGAGGAGGGAGGATCATTTGAAGCTAGGAGTGGCCAGCCTGGGCAACATCGCAAAACCTCATCTCTCCAAAAAAATAAAAGAAACATTTTTTAAATAAAAGGTGATCAGATCTACTCTAGATTGAACCATACAAGAGATTTGGTCCTAGACTAACCAGGCCAACCTTGAGACTAATTAAATTGCCATAAATGAACCCAACTACTAAAACGTTTCTGAGACCTTTTTCTACACAATTACTTACAGAAATACATCTGGTCTGGATCTCTGAATACCACCATGATAGGGTATTAGCCATGTACTAATCTCTTCAATGTTGACCTGTCATTTAACCCATTTTCTCCATGAATTTGAAATTATCTCTTTGGAGTACAAAGAGAGTTATATTTATTGTCATCAAGCTTTCAGTTGAAGGGAAGGATGGAGGAGGTAAGGGTGGACAGTTAGATTCACATTCAATTAAAATTTGAAAGCAGATATGAAAGTTAGACTAAATCATCATTCATACAGATTTACCTTCTTCCGCTACTGACAGACGGCCAAATAAATATGTATCTGAATATGTCTTCCTTTCTTGTAATAAACTTAGCTATAGGGAAATAATTACCATTGCAAAGAATAGAGAAGGAGTTTTCCTGCTTGTGTAAGATCTCAGTAATTAATCACAATTGGAAATTTTGCCATTTTCTGTTTCTCTCAATATTGTGTAACTTTTCTAATAAATCTGAAATGTTTAGCAGAGTGTTGTGTCATGCACCTATAATCCCAGCTATTTGGGGGGCTGAGGAGGAAGGATTGCTTGAGACCAAGAGCTCGAATGCAGTTTTGACAAAATAGCAACATCCTGTTTCTAAATAATTAATAATAACGCTCTGAAATGTTTTAGACAAAAAGAAGGTATTTCCAGTGACTAAAAATACATAAAATACTGCATCTAAACAAGTTTTAGTTATAAAATTAGTTGACTTTCCAAAGTCTCCTTGCTGTGACTGCTTAAGAGATGAATGTAGAGAGCAGGAATCCTGATTGTTCCATGTGGGAGAAGAGTGAAGCCTCTATAAAATCCCTGTCAAGTGTGTGCTTGCCTCCAGAATTCAAACTTCAGAAATATAATTAAGTAATTAGGCTGGATTTGCACTGATAAGAGTTTTTCTTTTGTCTTTGTTTTTCTTTTTAGAAACGCGGTCTTGTGTAGACTTTTTGTTTTGTCTTTTTCTTTTCAGAAACAGGGTGTTGTTATGTCGTGCAGGCTGGAGTAGAGTAGCGTGATCATAGCTCACTGCCACCTTGAACTCCTGGGCTCCAGTGATCCTCCCACCTCAGCCCCAAGCATCTGTGACTACAGGTGCCACCATGCCTGACCCCTGACAGAAACTTTAAGACGGCATTTCGTATTATGATGAGAGGCCTTCGCACTGATTTTGTGCAAAATGGCAACAGATAACTTGTATAGAGGACAGCTTTCCAGAAATAAAGTTGTCCTTAAATGAGAATGATGTCATACTAAAGCTGTATATCAAGGACAAGTGCCCAACATGTGGTCTGTGAAAATGAAGCTCATTATAGATTTTATGAGATGAGTCACCACAGTTACAGTCACTGGACAATGTCTTCAGTATAAATTTTGAATAGACTTTCCAGTTCATGGAAATTTTTGGCACCTTTTATACATAAAACACTGCAGATTTCTCCATGACCCACTTTTTTGTTGTTTTGTTTTGCATGGATTCACCCCAGAGCTTCTCTAGAATTCTCCTAGAGAGAACAGGGCTTCCCTCCACCATCTATGCTGCTGCTTCCTCTGTTCTTTCTGTCTTGTTGACACCATTTGCTTTCTACTTCCTGTGTTTTCCTTGAATCTTACCTGTTGAAAAGTGATGTTAAGGTTTCATTACCAAAAACGAACAAATAACAAATAAAACCAAAAATTAAAGCTTTCCAGTTATTTCAGTGAGAGCTTACCAAGAGACTAAGGGAATTGCATGAGTTCAGTCCTATTTCCTGAACATTTTCAGTGGCTCTTCATCACCTACCTGTATTTTTTTGAATTAATTTCCTCAGCCTAGTATTCAAAGTTCTTGATGCCCCACCCTAGTAGCTCATGCTATACTTACTTATATTACTCTGAAATCATTGTTATACAAGAAGTTGCTGGCTGGGTGCAGTGGTTCACGCCTATAATCCCAGCACTTTGGGAAGCCAAGGCGGGTTGTTCACTTAAGGCCAGGAGTTCGAGATCAGCCTGGCAAACATAATAAAATCCTATCTCAAAAAACAAACAAACAAAAAATGCTATGGGTTCAATTGTATCCCACAATAAAGATATGTTGAAGTCCTAATGCCTGGTCCCTCAGAATCTTCTTTTGTTAGTAAATAGAGTTTTCACAGAGGTAACCAAGTTAAATTGAGGTCATCAAGGTGGAAATCTGGACACAGAGGCAAACATGAACAGAAGGAAGACGATGTAAAGGCAGGGAGAACACCAAGTGAAGGAGGATTGAAGTGATGCATCTATAAGCAAAGGAATGCCACAGATTGCCAGCAAACTCAGAAGCTAGGAAGAGGCAAGGAAGGATTCTTCTGAAGCTTTCGGAGGAAGCATGGCCCTGCTGACACCTCAATTTCTAATTTCTAAGCTGTGAGACAATACTTTTCCACTGTTTTAAGCCACCCAGCTCTCCAGTACTTTTTGTTGTTGTTACAGCAACCTTAGGAAACTAATACAACTGCCACATTTTAAGTTACTGTTGATATTATTTCTTCTGCTTCTATTTCTCCCCTTTTTGCTCTTTAAAAAACAATTCCGTTCATTTTTAGAAGCCCATCTTACTTTTGTCTGTTGCCACTGTCTCTTCTAAAAACTGGGCCAGGCACCGTGACTTACACCTGTAATCCCAGCACTTTGGGAGGCTGAGATGGGCGGATTACTTGAGGTCAGGAGTTCAAGACCAGCCTGGCCAACTTAATGAAACTCTGTGTCTACTAAAAAACACCAAAAAAAAAAAAATTAGCTGGGAGTGTTGATGGGCATCTGTAATTCCAGTTACTCAGGAGGCTGAGGCAGAGGAATCACTTGAACCCAGGAGGCAGAGGTTGCAGCAGTAAGCTGAGATGTAGCCATTATACTCTAGCCTCGGCAACAGAATGAGACTCTGTCTTAAAAAAATAAAAAATAAAAATAATTATTCCTTGAAATTTGAACTCCTATATAATTTTTTGTATTCTTAGTACTAATAATTTATTATGTTCTGTGGGTATTTCCCTTGTATGTATATATTCTCTTCCTCAATCTAGATTTTAAACAGATAATATGTCTTATCTGTTAATATTTAATAGGCTAGCAATGACGTAGGTATAAGTATTCAATAAATATTTTTAGTGACATGATGCTATTATCTCTTAATAAATACACTTGAATAATTTAGTAAAATGTAAAAAACACAAATAACAATTTCATTATTAGAAAGATGACCTAATTTTAATGAATCTTAGTTATATAAATAATATATATGATGGTACACCTTTCTTCTCCCAATCTTCTTTATATATTATGAAGTTTAAAAGCAAACTTAATCTATACATTCAATTTTATATTCCACTTTATCGATTTAATATATAATCATAGAAACATTTTTCCACTTTTGTATGTTTATATGTTGTTTAAAAAATAATAGTGAAATCACAGTATGCATTCAATATTTTATTCCACTTTATTCATTTAATATTGTACTCTGAGAAACTTACATGTTAAACAATTATTTAAAAGCATCGTTTTATTGGCTATATAAGATTTTATTCATATAGCCACACCATAATTTATTTAATAGTTCTTTTTAGGCCGGGCGCGGTGGCTCAAGCCTGTAATCCCAGCACTTTGGGAGGCCGAGGCGGGTGGATCACGAGGTCAAGAGATCGAGACCATCCTGGTCAACATGGTGAAACCCCGTCTCTACTAAAAATACAAAAAATTAGCTGGGCATGGTGGTGCGTGCCTGTAATCCCAGCTACTCAGGAGGCTGAGGCAGGAGAATTGCCTGAACCCAGGAGGCGGAGGTTGCGGTGAGCCGAGATCGTGCCATTGCACTCCAGCCTGGGTAACAAGAGCGAAACTCCGTCTCAAAAAAAAAAAAAATAGTTCTTTTTATGGTTGTAATCTTTACTCTTATAATTTCATGAAGATTATCTTTGCTTATATATCCTTGATGGTATCTGATATGGTTTGGATATTTGTCCCCTCCAAGTGTCATGTTGAAATATAATCCCCAATGTTAGAGGTGGGGCCTGGTGAGATGTGTTTGGGTCATGGGGGTGGATCTGTCATGCCATGGTACTGTCCTCATGATAGTGAATTCTAGTGAGATATGGTTGTTCAAAAGTACGTGGCAATTTGACTGAGATTCCCTTAGCTAATAAAAAAAAAAGTATGTGCACCTCCCCAACCTCTCTCTTGCTCTCACTGTCACCATGTGAGATGTCACCTCCCCCTTTGCCTTCCACCATGATTGTAAGCTTCCTGAGGCCCTCACTAGAAGCGATATTGGAAACATGCTTTTTATATGGTCTGCAGTATACAGTGAACCAATTAAACCTCTCTTCTTTATAAATTACCCAGTCTCAGGTAATCCTTTATAGCAATACAAAACTGATAAAGAAAAATGGCACTGAAAGTAGGGTGTTGCTATAAAGATACCTGAAAATGTGAAAGCGGCTTTGGAACTGGGTAATAGGCAGAGATTGGAAGAGGTTGAAGATCTCAGAAGACAGGAAGACAAAGGAAAGTTTGGAACTTCTTAGAGACTTTTCCAGTATTTACGACCAAAATGCTGATAGAAATACAAACAGTGAAGCCAAGCTAACAAGATCTCAGAGGAAAATAAAGAAATGTATTGGGAAATGGAATAAAGGTAACCCATGTTACTCCTTAACAAATAGCTTGGTTGCAATGTGTTCATGCCCTAGGGATCTGTGGAAGTTTGAACTTAAGAGTCATGACTTAGGGTATCTGGCAGAAGAAATTTCTAAGTAGCAAAACATTTACAATGTCACCTGACTGCTTCTAACAACCCATGTTCAGATGCAGGGGCAAAGAAATGGCTTAAAGTTGGAAATCATATTAATATGAAGGAGAAGCAGAGCATAAAACTTTGGAAAATTTGTAGCCTAACCATGTGGTAGAAGAAAAATAGCCCATTCTCAGGGGAAGAATCCAAGTGGCTGTGGAGCAACCACTAGCTAGAGAGATTAGCATGACTGAAGGAGAGCCACGTGCTAATCTGCAAGACAATGGGAAAAGGCCTTGAAGGCATTTCAGAGACCTTCAATGCAGCTTCCTCCTGTCCCTGGCCCAGAGGCCTGGGCACACTATGCAGCCTGGGGACACTGCTCCCTGCATTTAGCCACTCCAGCTCCAGTCTCTGCTCAAAATGTCCCAAATACAGCTTGGGCCACCACTGCAGAGGGTGCAAGCCATAAGCCTTGGCAGCTTCCATGTGGTGTTAGGCCTGCAGGTAAACAGAGTGTAAAAGTGAAAGACACTTGGCAACTTCCCTCTTGATTTCAGATGATGTATTGGAAAGCCAGAGCACCCAGGCAGAATCCTGCCACAAGGATGGAGCCCCACACAGAGAAATTGACTATATCAATGCAAAGGAGAAATGTGGGGGTCAGAGCCCACACAGAGTCCCCACTGGGAACTGCCTAGTAAAGCTGTGGGAAGGGAGCCACTATCCTCCAGATCTCACAATGGCAGAGCCACTTGTGTAGCTTGTGCCCTGCACCTGGAGAAGCCACGAGCACTCAACTCTGGCCTTTGAGAGCAGTTGTAGGGACTGCAGAGGCACAGGGCGGAGCTGCCCAAAGCCTTGGGAGGCCACTCCTTGTACCAATGTGATCTGGATGTAGTACATGGAGTGAAAGGAGATTATTTTGGAGCTTTAAGATTTAATGACTGTTCTGCTGAGTTTCAGATGTGCATAGGCTCTGCTGCCCCTTTCTTTTGACCAATTTCTCCTTTTGGAATGCTAATGTTTATCCAATGCCTCTACCCCATTGTATCTTGCAAGTAAATTATTTGTCTTTGATTCCACAGGCTCATAAGTGGAAAGAATTCATCTGCAGGTGAGACTTTAGACTTTGGGACTTTTGAGTTGGGGCTGAAGTGAGTTGAGACTTTGGGGGACCAATGTCACTTTGGGAGAAGGGATAATTGTGTTTTGAAATATGAGAAGCACAGGAGATTTAGGGTGCCAGGGTGGAATAATATGGTTTGGGTAGTTTTCCTTTCCAAGTCTAACGTTAAAATTTAATCCCTAGTGTTGGAGATCAGGCCTGGATGGAGGTGTTTGGGTCATCGTGGTAAATCCCTTATAGCTTGGTGCTGTCCTCACAATAGTGAGTGAGTTCTCATGAGATATGGCTGTTGTTGGATGTTTGTTTGTTTGTTTTTGAGATGGAGTCACCCAAGCTGGAGTGCAGTGCCACAATCTTGACTCACTGAAGTCTTCACTTCCTGGGTTCAATCAATTCTTGTGCCTCAGCCTCCCAAATAGCAGGGACTATAGTCATATGCCACCATGTTTGGTTAATGATGTATTTGGTTGTTTAAAAGCATGTGGCACCTCCCATACTTTCTTGCTCCCACTGTCACCACATGAGATGGTGGCTACCCCTTCACCTTCAGCCATGATTATAAGATTCCTGGTGCTCACCAAAAGTGGGTGCTTGTACCAAGCTTCTTTTATGGTCTGAAGAACTGTGAACCAATTAAACCTCTTCTTATACATTACCCAATCTCAGATTTTTTTATAGCAATGCAAAACTGACTAATATAGTATCTAAGACTATTTTCTTCAGTATATTTTTGGAAAAGGAATTAGTAGGTCAAAGAGTATGAATATATTTATATTGACACAGGTTCTTGACATCAGTCCCCAAATTGTTCCTCATAACTGTTTATTCTTCTTTGAAATCCATCAGCAGTGTATGAAAAGTGCCTATCACCCACAAGCTTGAAACATTTTGGTAGTGTGTGTGTGTGTGTGTGTGTGTGTGTGTGTGTGTGTGGAGAGAGAGAGAGAGAGAGAGAGAGAGAGAGAGAGAGGGTCTTGCTCTGTCATCTTAGGATACAGTGTAGTGGCATGATATGATCTCAGCTCACTGCAAACTCTGCCTCCTGAGTTCAAGCAATTCTCCCACCTCAGCCTC